AAAGGAATGAACCAACACATCAAACAGAACATCAACCGCAACCAGACCTTAAACGAAGGCTAGCACTGAGTCATGAAGAACCAAACTAGCTAAAATTGTTCCAATGAAGAAGTAAAGGCGTGAAGCTAAAGAATCTAAAGAGCAAAGCAACCTTAAGAAAAAATGGCCATCGAATTATAGCATAACTACTATAGAACACATCACCCAAACTAACACTAGCGGCCAACAGAACTGTCCAAGGACCAAAGCATAACACCAGAGATCAACGACTACACGATACTACCCAGCAATTCATCTGGCAAGAACGAAAAGAAACCTAACAGAATAATAACAATTAGCAGCAGAAGCTTCCCGAATAAATAGGAGTTCACTCGACAAATAAAGAGGCAAAGCTTGCAGGACAACTAGTCGAATCAGCACCCAAATTGCAGAAGATACCACAAGACTCGTGCAAGTCTAATAAAACCCACTAAACCAATGTTCTCCTCCACCAACAGATAAAACGACTCATCAGACGACACTATGGACATATCGAATAAAAAATTACCGACAGCCCCCATATTCAACCAACAGGAGCTGCATGCAGATATCAACTTTACAAGGCACCATCTTCACTTTTCTTTTAAAGTATTACATTAAAACATTCTTCAATAAAGTTTACCTCGAAACCAGCATCTGCATCAGAACCCACTTGCAACCTAGGAAACATCTCGACAGCAACTACTGCTATAATCTCCTATCCAACATCGGCTGGAGAGCCAACAATGAATACACAAAGCAAAAACACACGCAGGAACGGAAGGTGGACAACATCTATGAGCAACACCAAAGAACAAAAAGGTAGCCAAAGCAAACACAATACTCTTATAGCAAAGACACACACTCAACCTCGGTAGAACATCAAAGCACAAGAGCAACACCACCCACCAAACAGGGAACGAAGAAATGAAGTAATCCACCAGAAAATAGCTTGTCAACCAAAAACACTTTAGCCATGGCAAAACAGACTAACAATAAAAATAAACTACTAAAGACTTTATACTAAAAAACAATTTCTAAAACTACTCCAGCTCCTCTTAAAAACCACGACTAACATTCTCAAGACCAAAGCCATAAACCACCACAACCCCTGACATTCACACACCAAACTCGTACTCAACTCCTCTTCTCTAGAGAAAACACACTCAGAACCTTACCTTAGCAACCCACTCTCTGCTATAAACCTAACCAATGAAGAGTATTTGTAGAAATAACCACAAACAACGCAACAGATTCTAACGAAAGACCTGAAACACTCTCCCACATGATGAAATAAGTCAAGAGATCAATAGACAGGTTCACTATGACATTTACACAAACAGCTTGCATGCAGAAATAACTATCGCACTCTGGCTCCAGAAGCTAACTAGTAGCCTACACAGATATTCAAGACTATGAAACTAATGCATACAAAACCATATCTGAAGCACGAAACATCACTCAAATAGAAACAGGGATAACAACACAACCGGAAGAGAGAGAAAAGATCTCACCAAGCAAGAAGAGAACACCCAAATAATCGAATAGCAAGTTTGGGGATAGAAGCCAAATGAACCCTAATCCCCAAAAACACCAGGGCTAGTCCGACCAATCCCTTATTCAAAGAACACAAAGAGATACAGCGACACGGAGATGGCCTTTTGAGATCATGAGTGAAACGGTAGCGACACGAAAATGGCCTTTTGAGATCATTAGTGAAACGGTCAAGAGATGGCGTAAAGCAACAAGGGTGGTGGTGACCACCCAGACAACGAAACAACAAGATGAGAAACCAAAAAGATTATAGTGCTTTGAACTGACCACAAGGATAGTATTGGATTGTAGTACTAGGTGGAATTCAACTTACCAATAAGCATGTTGAATTGAATGGAGAAACAAAAATCATTTAGCGTGATAATGAATACAATTTTTTTTTTCAATCTTTAACCCAAATATAAAACACCTTTAGACACGAACATACATGAAAATTAAAGTATTTTCACAATTATCGCACAATTGAAGTTGAAAATTAATGAACATTTTCCGTTATCGCACATATATGCAAAATTATCCCAAAATTAATGCACGATTGAAAAATAGATTAATGAAATTTAAGAATATCAATCGTACAAGAAAAAATAAACCTTAAAAACAATTGATTCTCAGTGATTTAACACGGTCTGACAATGATGTGACTTGTTAGAACAAATCATGATAAACATGAAATCAAACCAATATCTAATCATGTTAAATTATTAAGAATAAAATATTAGTTGCAAAAGCGTATCTGAATTAATTGATAGATTGAAATCTTGAGTCTTTCTTTGGTTGTGATCTTTCAATAAGATAGAATTCTCTTGAGTATAAACTCTCTGAAAGAGATAAGAGAAAATACGAGATTGTGGACCATAGCCCTTCTATATAGTTGATTTAATAATCAATTATTTTATTTCTATAATATTTTTCATACCTTATGACTTTATAACATAATTGACCACTTAATTTATATCATATTTGATAATAACAGTATACATTATAAATATGTGTCTATAATCATTTATTTTAATCCAACGTACTTATCGTTATCTTCTAACGACAACTAATGTTGTAAACCTCCATGTGTATGAACCAATAGACAGTTATAGAGGTAGGTATTGGCCGTCATCGTTGTCCATGTGGAATTGTTGTACTCTGACTATGAAAGTTGTTTGACCAGACATTTCTTTTTCTCAAACTAATGTTTCAGTTTAATGCATGAGATCTGCGAGACAAAGGAATTGATTTCCAAAGTTAGGTGAAAGTGGGCAGATGTTGGGACATGATATGCTTCATGATGAATTTTTTGAGAAAAAATAATAAACAAAAAGGTTAATAAAAAAAACAAATATTAATAATTCGAATCCAAATAACCCGTAGTTTCAATATGATATGACCAGGTTTAGTGTTAAAATTTATCAGTGATCAAGTAATGATCAAGCATGGTGCATGGCAATGCGTAGGATCCACTCAATACCATGTGCTTTGCCTCCCCTTTCGAAAGCAACTTTCAGTACTTGGATTGCCGGGTTAAGATTACCGATAACGCAGCCGTTCCAGCTCGAAGCCCGGTTGGTCGGTCAGTCAGCGTTTGGGAGCTTTTCTAATAACTGGTGATATCATCATACGCACACATAAAGATAAGCTCCAAGAAGAAAAGAGAGGAACTGCTTTAAAAAGGTGTTGGCTTAAAATAGTAATTGAAGATGAGTATCAAGTACACTACTGTTGCAGGGTTTTTGGCTATGATTGCATCAGAAAGATGATTTAACTATGTTTGTTTGTCGTAAAATGAATTATGGAATTGATTTTTTTCGAAATCTTATGTTTGTTTCACGTAATTCGTTTTACAAAAAATATTTTCTTGTATTTGTTTCACGCAATTCGTTTTCCGGAAAATATTTTTCGGTGTTTGGTTGGAGGAAAAATGGTTGGTCAACGTAAAATATTTTCCTAGTCAACAGAATTTCCTTTGTGTTTTCTGAAAAATGACTTACGGTCTGATTTTCCGTAAGTCATTTTCTGAACTTTTCACTTCAAAGAATAAATACTCAAAATAATTTTATTTTATGAATTTAATATTAATAAAATATTTTAATATTATTTTAATCAAAATATTAATTATTAAAATATTTAAAATATATTTATTAATATTTATAATAATATAATATTATATTTTTAATATTATAATAAAATAATCAATTATATTATAATAATATAAGATATTATATTTTTATTTTAATAATATATAATAAATTATTTATATATTTAATAATGAATAATATTATTTATATATTTAATATTAATATAATAATATAATAATATTTTAATAAAGATATTTAAAATATACTAATTAATATTTTTAAAATATAATATAAAACTATTACTTTAATAAATAATTAATATAATTTATAATATATTTATTTCAATAAAATATACCAATATTAATATTTTTATTAATAAAATTATAAAAATAATATTTAATAATAAATAAATTATTTTAATATTTTAAAAATAATAATATTAAGTTTTATGATAAATACTATTATTTATTTTATTTAATATTTGTAATAAATAATTTTTAAAAAATTCATCGACTAGTGGGAAAAAAGATTTAAACAACATCTTCAAAAAATCGTAAAACGTTTTCCAGATGTTTTTCAGAAAAATGTAATTCATTTTCTGGAAAACGTTTTTCAGAAATATAATTCATTTTCCAGAATTCAAATTCCAGTAATTCATTTTCAGAATTCAATTTCTAAAAAACCAATTACATCCAAACAAATAGATCCTTAATTTCTCAAGGTTCAGATTTCTAGTAACAAAACCACAAGAATTGCTTTGAAAAAGCTGTTTTTTTTTTCTTTCTTTCATAGTTTATACTCCTAAAAGAAGTTTTTTCCACATTTAAATCTTCATTTCCTTTAAACTAGAATTGATTCTTTTTCTTTATTATTGAATAGCAATTCCGTTTTCCACATTTTTTGACATATTGGGCCATGAGATTCTATGTTTTCTTCTTCAACGAGGCCATAATAATAGCATTATTATAGAATACAAGAGATGAGTGGTTGGTGAAGGACTGAATTTGGACCTTAAATCCTCAGTAAGTGTATAGTGAAAGCAGTTAATGAAAACTAGTATTTTTCTTAATATTGATTACTTAGCTTTATGCAAAATTTGTCGCCAATAATATTTGGAATTATAGTCTCATATTTTTAGTGACAAAACAAAGGCTTAACAGTAATTGGTAGGTAAGGGGGGCCAAAGAAGCAAACAAATGAAAGTGTGTCGGTGATTAAGCATATGTATGTTGCTTGTTTATTCAAATGATGCCCCTTTATAGATGAGAGCTGAAGTGTAGATGATTAGATTCCCCCACCACCACCACTCAACTCTGCCTACTTACAACCACCATTTCCCCCCAAAAAGGAGTGAAATATAGAGAAAAACTTTAGTGTTTTACTTTTGAATTGAATCATTCATTTCCCCCATGGCTCGGTTCTCCTGTTATCATCACCCTTCTTTAGTCACGTTCTGGACTTTCATTCTAATCGTTTTTCTTAAAGGTGATGAGAATATATGCTATTTTAGAAGTTGAATTATTCTTATTTTCGTCAAGTTTTGATCTTTTTCGTAAGTAGACTTACACACAGTTTCTTTGTTTTCTTCTGTTTCCATTTGCAGGGCCTATGGCTGCCACCTTTACATTTGTCAACAAATGCGATTACACCGTATGGCCTGGAGTTCTAGCTAATCCGGGGAGTCTAAAACTGGAAAGTACAGGCTTTGAACTTACTAAAGGCGGCTCTCGTTCCTTCGAAGCTCCTACTGGTTGGGCCGGTCGCTTCTGGGGCAGAACAGGCTGCAGTTTCGATGACTCTGGCCGTGGTTCATGCACTACAGGCGACTGCGGCTCTGGTGAAGTCGAATGCAATGGAGCTGGCGCCATCCCCCCAGCCACCTTAGCTGAGTTTACACTTGGTTCGGGATCGCAAGACTTCTATGATGTGAGCCTGGTTGATGGTTATAATTTGCCTATGATTGTTGAAGGAAATGGAGGGTCAGGAGAGTGTGCCACTACCGGTTGCCTGACCGATTTGAATAAAAAGTGCCCGTCCGAGCTGAAAATCGATGGCGGTGATGCCTGCAAGAGTGCATGTGATGCTTTCGGCAACCCGGAGTATTGTTGTAGCGGTGCCTACAATACTCCGGCAGCTTGTAAACCGTCCATGTATTCACTGGTGTTCAAGTCAGCTTGCCCCAAATCCTATAGCTATGCCTTTGATGATGCCACCAGCACTTTCACATGCTCTGGGGCTGATTATACCATCACTTTCTGTCCCAATGCTCCCCGGTAAATTTCCAGAATCATCAATGTTTACAATTTTAATTCATCAAATTTCTAAAAGTTGCAAACTTGCATGTATAGTTAATATGGTATTAATTTTGTGATGCAGTTTGCAATCTTCAAACGATCCTTCTCCAAATACAACAGGATCAACCGATGGGTTGGAATCAGACCCGGAACCGGAACCGTACCCTATGCAGGCATCTGCAATGGACAGTGAATGGCTAGCGAATTTGGCTACCGGAGACTCCACCAAGACCAAACCATTTTCCCTTGCCCAATTTGGTTTTGTTGTGACCATTTTTGTGATCATCTCTCTGTTCTTGTAGTCTCAATTTCCCAATTCAACTTGAATAGAGAAAATAAAAACAAAAACAAAATCCAGATTGTAAAATGTTAGCCCACTCATATTTTGTTAAAATACACGTTTTGACATGCAAATCATTTTGTTTCATAAATAAATATATTTTGCCATTTTCTTCTGCTTTTGGATTGTCTTTTATTTTACGTTTAATGTTTGATGAGATCTTTGAATTATTTTAAAATGTTAAATTAATATATGTAATCATATTTGACATACTGGTCAAGCTATTTATCTATATTTTTTATATTTCTTTAGGTTATGGGTTCTAGATCCAATAACCTTTTTATTAACAAAAATCGTCATTAATTATTACAATATTAATGTGTTGGCCTATAATATTGACATGATAATCAAAATGGATGATAATGTGACAGATGAATTTAATTGAGTTTTTGAAAAATTTAAAAATTTAACCGTCTCTTTTATAAAATTTGAGCATGTATTTAACTTTTAAGAAAAATAAAAATATTTAAATAAAAAAATTGTTAAGATATTCAGAAAAGTTTAATATTAAAAATAAAATTTAAGTTATAAAAATTATTATTAAAATTAAAAAAAAGGTAAATTACGGAAGTGATCATATTTTATTGATTTATTATATTTTGATCACTAATGTTATAGATTGTTACAGTTTGATCATTTAATTATTTTTTTCTGGTTAGTTTGGTGATGTGTACGTTAATAAATGAGGTTAATTTATATATAAACATAAAATCGGATCAGATTCAAATTTGAAATTAAAACACATAACTCAATTTAAAAATAATAATTTAATTATATATTTTAAATTGATGATTATTATAATCTTCTATATTTTTTTCTTTGGGATACTACCCTAATAACTAAGACTATGTAAACGAGCCGAGTCGAGCTCGAGTATTGATGAGCTCGACTCGACTCGAAAACTCTGAAATCGAGCTCGACTCGACTCGAAAACTCGTGAGTTTAAAATTTTCAAGTTCGACTCGAACTCGAAATTCTGAACTGAAACTCGTGAGCAACTCGAAAATGCTCGAAATGAAATAAAAATTCTTAAACTTAACTCAATTGAAGCCTCAAACTCAAACTCGAGCATGAACCTTAAATACATGAAAACTCTGAAATCGAGTTCGACTCGACTTGAAAACTCGTGAGCTTAAAATTTTTAAGTTTGACTCGAACTTGAAATCCTGAACTGAAACTCGTGAGCAACTCGAAAAGGCTCGAAATGAAAAAAAAAATCTTAACTTAACTCGATTAAAACATCAAACTCAAACTCGAGCATGAACCTTAAATACATGAAATCTTATTTTATTTTTTAAAAACAATCAATACATAAATATTAATATTATTAATAATTTATTTTTTTAAATAAAATATTAATAAATTATATTTTGAGCTGCTCATAAGCTTTTCGAGTCGAATATCGAGTAGATCGTTTTGGCTCGTTAAGAACTCGAGTCGAGTCCCTTCGATCCGAGTATTTATCGAGCCTTGATCGAATAGATCTCGAATAACTCACGATCTGTCTCGTCTCATTTACGGCCTAACTAAAACTAGATAAATAAAGTAAATAATAATGATTAAATTTATATTTATAGCTTTATAATTCTATGACAAGGACAGGTCACGAGTTTCCCAATAGACAAACTGAAGCTATCAGGTTGGTACTAGTGGGTGCCAATAAATGTATGGTATAACTCTGATTTTAGTCCCTAAAAGATATCAGTAAAAAATAGACTTAACTTTAGTGAAATTAACTAAATATATTATTATTTTGAACTTATTAATAACATTACAAAAGTAGAGGAATAAATAATATCAAATTAAAGTGAAAAGGATTAAATATAAAATTTTAGAATTATGGAGGGACTAAACCGAAAATAATAAACCCTACCACAAGCAGCGAGGCAGGCACCGCATTATCAAATACTGAAACGACCCCCTTTCTGTGCAGCGCTAGCGTCAGTCTCCCGTTGCCGTACTTTTATTTTACCACTGTGTATCTGAAATCTGGAGCTAAGTGGAAGTTGAAGGAAAAAGGAACAGAAAAGAAATAAGATATCAATGGGAGAAAGAGTGATTGGGTTTTGCTTTCTATTATTATTTATTGCTTATTTCATTGAGTTTTCTTCTGCTATAGTTGTATTGGAGCCCTTCTCCATTGCCTTCCCGGACATTCCCACCAAATTCGGTAACTTTTGCTTCTCTATTTCCTGTTTGTTTACTCGGAAAACGTAAGAAAACTTAGCAGAACAAACCAGTAAGCTTTTTCTGTTTATACGCACTACTTTGAACTAATTTTTTTGCAAAAAGTCTGATTTAAAGAAGAAAAAAAAGAGAGAAGAGAGTTCACTCTTTTTTTTTTGGTTTAGCTCGTTGGAATAGCACGCGCCTTTGCGGTGCAATTGAAGTAGCGGATCCATTGGATGCTTGTACACCGCTCCGTAATGAATTCGGGTCCAACAAAACTGACTCCACAAGGTTTGCTTTGATAATTAGAGGCAATTGTTCTTTCGACGAAAAAATTCGAAAAGCTCAAAGCGGTGGTTTTTCTGCCGCAATTGTTTACGAAGATAAAGATATGAGCAATTTAGTGTACAGTAAGTTAAATTGCTTTATGTTTTTTCATTCATTATAGAATTTAGTATTATTGGTAAAACTTGGAGGACTATTCAACAGTGTAGTAACTGAGGTATATTGTTGGTTGAAGTGATGGTGAACCCTAAGGGAATCAACATTTTGGCGGTTTTTGTTTCTAAATCTGCTGGTGAATTTTTGAAAGATCATGCTATAGGAGAAAAAGAGGAATGCTGCATTTATTTGCAGCCAAATGTGAATCCATTGACAGTTTTTGCCATTTGCTTCGTATCACTTGCCGTTATAGCAGTTTTCCTGGTGACAGCCATGATTCCTCCCAGAATTTTTTCGAATTGGCGAAGAAAAAAATTAGTTAAAAGTGTGGATAGTAAGATAGTTGAAGCTCTTCCTCGTGTCACGTTTGGTTCTGCTCCTCTCAGTCACTGCCATACTGGAGAAACTTGTGCAATATGCCTTGAGGATTATAAGGATGGGGAAATTCTTAAAATTCTCCCTTGTCAACACGGTAGGATACGCTCATGTGGCTTATCTGTAGCCTTTAATGTTAGATTTGCAGCGCTTCTTTTCTCCTTCGTATCATTGTTTTAACTACCATCATGCAAGGATTTCTTTTCGCTTTAACGGGTTAGCTTGACTTTTCATTGAGTTGGGCAATCCAATAGAGCTATAGATCATTGGTTGTTTCAAGGCTAGCATTGTCGTTTTTGCAGTAATGCACATATTTCAACCATTCTAATTAGAAATGAATCTGTTCTTATCATTGGCAATTGTAAAAAAGGTAGATAAATTCCGTTTGTGCATATATGAATATTTATTTCTCATTCTAATGTTGTTTTGTCAATCATTTTTATTTGAATACTTGTTTCTATACTTCATCATTGTATTTATCAACATGATAGTTTCTTGCAGATTTTCATTCAAGCTGTGTGGAGTCATGGCTGACTAAGTGGGGGACGTTCTGCCCTGTATGCAAACTCGATATGATAACCAAAATCACATTTTCTGTGGTCAGTGAGCAAAGGCCTTAGTTTTATGTATGCAGCTCCAATTCTTCTCATTGAGTTTAAACATTGTAGAGTTATATACTCTTTAACAGTCATGCCTATATTTTCCATTTTATACTATTGCTTTTCCATTTTAATCTGAATTTTAAGCTATTGTAAATATTACATCATATATAATTAATATTTCACTTTGAACAAAAAAATTAATATTTCACAGAAAGAAATTATAGTGACTGCTGTTATGGCCCATTGTTGATGATGTAAAATCTGACATTTAGCGTGTGCCATCATGTTTGTCATGATATTAAGATCGGGTGGTTGGTAACTTTTATGCTGGACATTGCTTATTCTCTCACATTTCATGGTCAACATTCAGTTAACTATATGCACGATAGAAGTTGCTTATGCTGGTTAGAGGCATAGTTTTAAGTATTACAGATAGGGATGAGCATGGGGCCTGATCTTGACCCGATCGGATTGGATTTTTTTAAAAAAATTGGGTTCTGGTCGGGGTCGGGTTTAAGGTGAAAAATACCCGACACGAAAAATATATAATTTTACCTTAAATATTTAGGAATAATTATAATAATACCCATCTATATATTATTTTTTCAATTAAGTCATTTTTAATGAATATAAATAATTTTTTTTTATTTCGGGTTCGGGAAGGGTGAAAACTTATTTTGGTCGGGTCTCGGGTGGAGGGTTCTTTGTTCTCGGGTTGGGTTGGGTGGACCAAAAATCCGACCCATGCCTATACCAAATTACAGGTAAGGCATTTGCAAAATTCTAGATAGCTTGTTCGACAATGGACATATTTAAAATTCCAATAGTATAAAAGTATATGTAAATTATGAAACATGAATATGATTCCTATATCTTGCTGAAACCATTATAGGCTTGTTCGTTTTTTGAATTTTGTGTTGAATCTTGTCGTGATTGTACTTCGGGTGGGTCAGAAATTAGGTTTCGACTTGAATTTAATGTGTCAGAGTTGCCATCGATCATTTTGAATTAGGTTGATCGGCTACCTTAACTTACCTTTTATTTGATCTACGTTTTACCATAAATTTGTCGGATTCGGGAGTCGATTACAGTCAGAGAAGGATTAGCACTCTTATATTGCCATTTCGGTACCAATTTTATTTATTGATTGTCTTAATTACGAAAATTAGAGGTTAAATTAAAATTTAAAAGTTCGACCCAAATTACTTACCTTTGATGAAGTTAAAATTGCCCTAAAAAGTCAAATTAATGTTAAATAAAATAAAATAAAATAAAAACAAAATAAAAAAGGTATTAAATTAAAAGAAAATGATCATTAAAGAAGGCTTAAATTGGAAAGAATTTAAAATTGGGGGTAAAATTGATGTTAATTGAAAGCTGCAAGGGAACAAATAAAAGTTAGGAGGTCAATTCGCAAAATATAAGAAATATAATCGAGGATTAAGTCGAATTAATTTAAAATTCAAAGGCAAATTCACAACATTTGGCCAAAATGAATTACTCATCAGAATTAGAGGGACTGCAGAAATAATTTAAAATTTTACTAATTACACTTCAACCCTCCTTATAAATAGCCCCAAAACCACACAAAAAATCATTTTAACCCATTCCCTAAAAACACTCTCATTTCTCTCAACTCTCCCCATTCAAAACCCCAACCGACCTATAGTCATCGAAGCTGCCACCACCCGAACCACCACCGACCGTCGATCCGACCACCACCACTGGTGGCCGAAAAGCTATAAACATCCCCAAATGATCCTTCTAACCTAGTGAGTACGAAACCAAAATTCGATCACCACAAAAAGACCCCAATCAGCATAGATTTAAATTTGAAGTTTCGAAGTTTACCTTTTCCGGCCTGACTCTTTGTTTCCCCGACGACTGTTCCCTTTCCTAGAGTCTTTTTATGCGTTCCTGGTAACCATCGATGAAATCTCTCAATTTTTATGATTTGATTTTCTAAATATTCGAATATATTTGCTTGGTTGTTGGTGTGGGTTTCCTGTTTGTTTTTCTGGGTTTCTCGGTGTTTTTTGTGGTTATTTTTTTGGGCTTTCTTTGCTCCTGTTATGCTATGGTGTTGCTCGGTTTTTTTGTGTTTTCTATTGATATTCGGCTGCCTGGTTGTTGTTCTTTGCTTGGCTTCGCCGGAGGCTTTTTATAGCCTCGAATCCGGCCGTTGTAGTCCCGAAAGGGATGGGATTTTTGCTGGAAATCTGAGCAATCTATATTCGTGCGAATCATTGCCCAGTTTTGTGATTTTCCGGATGTGATCTTCATGCGCCGTTGAAATGTCGATATGATGCATTTTGGCCATTGGATCAAAGAGCCAGATCCAACGACTCTGGTTGATGCGGCGCCCTTGCTTAAGGATGAAACCCTAGCTCGCTGGGTCAGGTGGCTTGGGCTTCTCTGTTGGGCTCTCACCGTGTATGCTGGGTCAAGCTACCCGGTTGGGATCTATTTTTGGACTTGGATCTTTGGCTTTGGACCCTTTGAAACCGGATTTGGACTTAATTGAACCTGAAAAAAAATATGATAAATTAATAAAATAAATAAAATAATAATAATGGAAAATAATAATATGTATGTATGTGTATATATATATCAATGTTTTCAAAGAAACTATATATTATATGTTTTCAAAAACATTTTTTAAAAACCATATATTATATGTTTTCAAAAATACGTTTTCAAAAACTACGTATGTTTTCCAAAAACATTTTTTTAAAATCATATATTATATGTTTTTAAAACCATTTTAAAAAACTATAAATTATACGTTTTCAAAACAATTTTAATATATTATCTGTTTTCAAAAATATGTTTTCAAAAACTATATTATATATGTTTTCAAAAATATGTTTTCAAAAATACGTTTTCAAAAACTATATATTATATGTTTTCAAAACCTATACTATATATTTTCAATAACTATATTTGAAATTATTATATATATTATGTTCTACAATATAATAAAGACCCCTGACAGAAATAAGTGTTTAAAGCTGCCCCTCTTTTCCTATTTATCGTGTAACAAGAAATTGGGCAAAGATAAAAGGACATAAATTTTCGTTCGGGACTTGCAAGCAAGCATGTTGTCGATCTCTGAGTTTAAAATCTGACTCAATGTTGCAGTCGACTCTTTTATCGAATATCCTCCGTCGCAGAGTTGAATTTCGACTTAAAAATAAAAGATGACTTCCTGTTGTTGAACCGTATTACGGGTCACTCCTTTGTCGTAAAGTTGAGTCGATCTTGAGATTTCTTTGAACACGACATCCTTAATCATGAAGTTGGTGGTTAATCCCTTCGTCATGAAGTTGAGTCAGTCGACCATGATATCCTTTACTGCGAAGTTGCAATCTAGCTCGATGCCTGGAGCAGGCGGTAAGTCCTCGCCATCTCCTTCTAGCCCAATACCCTTCGTCATGAAGTTGGAATTTGACTAGATGACCTTAGTTGAGAGATAGCTCCTCGTTTTTGCAGATGACTCCTTTGTTGTGAAGGTAAGTCGGTCTCTTGGGCATGATATCTTTCTTCGTGAAGTTGAAATCTTGGGTAACTCCTTCGACGTGAAGTTGAGTCCAAATTGAATATATTTTCTGAGCCGGATATCCTTCGCCGTGAAGTTGAAATCCAACTTGGATAGACTGTATTGTCCTTAATCTCGAGTGTTGTTCGAGTTAAATATCCTTCATTGCGAAGTTGAAATTGACTCTAATTAAAATCTGCAAAAAATTATGCATGTGTGCGATGCTATGAATGTAGTATACCTAAAATGTATATGTGAAGTATGTTATTTTAGGATTTTTAGAGAAACATCTCAATCCCTTGCTGTCAGTCTTGATTTTTTTGACGTCTCTTGACCCCTGCCAATCTTGAATTTCTGATTCTTGATTTTGGATTCTCTGATCCTCAACGAGTTTTGATCTGATATCCTCTCCAGGAATTTTTAGAAAGAAGCTTTGCTTCTAATCTTGATTTTTGATCAATTCCTTTTTATTTCTCAGTAAACTAGTATATGTGTCATTCTTTCGAGTGTGGTGCAAGAACCTTTATCGACTTCCAAACACCTGTTCCTTTTAGGAAATCTTTGTGCAGTAATACACAATGATCTTTATTCAAATAAAATAAGCCATTTTTATTTAAATTCAATGTGAGATGCTAAGGAGTTGATTTCTCTCAGACAAATGGTCATATTTATTTATGTGGAAAAATAAAATACATGGAAAACATAAAAAAAACGAAGTTATTTAGAAATACAAATAGGTTCCCTAGATCTCGATAATATGGACGCTTTTGAACCGACACGTCGTTAGATGAATTTCGAGTGCAGCCTTTATCTAGGGGACTTCGAAGATTGTGACAACCTTTGGAAGAGTGCGAAGTTCCTCCCAAATTATTAAGTCTCTGAAGACTTGGATGCCATTATGCTTTCTTGTCCTGATTTGGGACCTCCACATGCGCGCATCCTGGATCATTATCCAAGCCACCCTCTCGGGTTTTCAACTTGAATCCTCCCTCGGTTTCAAGATTCCCTTTGCAAGTTTTTATCTTGGATCCACCTTTTATTTTTCAAATATTTTTTTAATTTTCAATTTAGAGCGCCCTTTCAGGTTTTCACTCTAAACGTTTTTTTTACTTCGACTTAGAGCGCCTTTTCGAGTTTTCACCTTAAGCGAAATATTTCTTGACTGCATCAGAGTTAACGGGATGGGGCAATTATGTCTGTCCATTTCAATCAAGATTAGAGCTCTTTCGGAGAAAGTTTTTTCACGACATAAGGCCCTTCCCAATTTTGCATCAATTTTCCTCTGAAGTCTTTTTGGATTGGCCATATTTTTTTCAGTACGAGATCTGCTTCATGGAATACTCTTGGGAGCATCTTCTTGTTGTGTGCCCGGATCATTCATTTTTGGTAGAGTCGACCATGGTGAATGGCTTCCAACCTTTTTTTCTTCTATTAGGTTTAGTTGTTCATATTGAGTTTATTACCATTCTGCATCATCCAATTTAACTTCTGACAAAACCCGGAGTGATGAGATTTCCACCTCAATGGGCAACACAACCTCTATCCCA